TTGAAACTCAACATCCGCCCCCAAATTTTGAGATTTTTTAAATATTTTATACATTTTATATACATCCTTTTTAATTAAATTATACAATACGGTTTAATATATAGATTTTTTTTGGTATTATGAAAATTAGATAATCTTTCTTTCCTTACAGGAGAGAATCCGTTTCTCAGGGGGCCATTTCATTGCAAGCCCCATTTCGTTACCGGTCTCTCTCTCTCTCTCTGTTTTTTTTTTTTTTTTTTTTTTTTTTTTTTTTTTTTCCACCCTTATATTTTTTTATTCATCTTTTAACCTTTGTTCTTTATATATTTTTGAATATATCTCTTTTAAATAATTTTCTTCGGGCTATTTAAAACAATTTTTTTTTCTAATTACCCTGCTGAATTATTATTATTATTTTTAATTTTAAACGTGTCTCTACATAAACATCTTTTACCTATGAGCCTCATATATTACAGCTTTAGTTGCGACACATTTCATACAAGTTACTTTCTTAATTTTTTCTTGTCTTTTCTCCTTGTCTTTTGCTACATATCTTTTTTCCCGCTTTTGTCTTTATTTCTTTTATCCTTTTATTTTTCTCCCTTTTTTAACCTGCAATTTGTATAACCGTTGTTTTAAATGAGTCACATACGTTATCTTTATCTATTTATCTATTTTTTTCCGGCGATTTGTATAACCGTTGTTTTAAATATTCACTCGAGATTTTGATTAGTCCATTGTAAATGCCAATTCATATGTTAATTAATTCATGAACCATGATTAATCTCAACGTCATATTTAATTAAAGATTTTAAAATACATCAATATAAAAAAAATCAAAATTAAAGGTACCTAATGGCTACATACTTGCATGGTTATTATATCCCTCAAGAAATTGATAGACGAAGACCATTTCAAGTCTTTGTAATATCCAGTAGCTCCAAATATACCTTCCATTTTCTGTTTTTGCCATTTCTATATCAATCACACTACTTGTCCCTATAGCATCGACTATAAAATACCAAAGACCAAGAGTTCTTCTTAATTAACCATCGTTATCGATCGACATCATGACCCAACTAAAATTCAATGCGTGATCTTGCCTTCTATTTAACGTTGGCTGGATTCATCAGATCATGTCAAATAATAGAAAGTGATAATACATATTGTAATTGTTCTAATTTTTCTCCTCCGATTTCTTATCCAAACTAACACTATTGTCGCTTGTTAAAAAAAAAAAAAAAAAAAAAAAAAAAAACACCTCTTGGACTAGTCTGCGGAAGAGATGAACACGTATCTCAAGAATTGAGGCAAGTGCTCAGGCGGAAGCAAGAGCCAAGGCGTGCAAAAAATAACGTTACGTCTTTCCATAAATTATAACATATATTATCAGGGAAAATGTGCAAATTTTATAATGGCGAATATTTATTTTTATCCTATTAAAGAAATATTATATATATATATATATATTGTTAGGATTTTAGTTGGCAATTTTTAACAACGGCTTTTTAGGAAAATTCAAAAAACAGGTTTGAAAAGATGATGACGTGTATAGCAAATTTGTCTGATCAAAGTATTTGAATTTTAGGATGAAATGATGAGTTACAGAGAAGATAAGTTGCTGAAAAAAATAACTTCCAAAATATGAAAATTTCCGCATAAGTATCGATAAAAATGTCGATATTTTCATCATTGGATAGAACTTTGTCGGGGGTGGGCAGGGATATGAAGTAGGGAATATAAAATGAAAATAAAAGAAAAGGTGAGTTTTTTTTTTTTTTTTTTTTTTTTTTTTTCCTGTTTTTTTTTTTCCTGAAAAAAGATAGATTAGTTTAAAGTTCGAGGAAATTGTGTGGTTACTAGTTATTATGAATTTATATCAGCTTCTATTATCTTTTCTATATATAATGATGCACCATATTGTATTGTATGTGGTATATATAGTGTTGTATTGTATAATTCTTATGTAGGTGTTTGGTTTGTGTTGTATTAAATTATTATATTACTTTATACAATGTTTGTTTACTCGAGTAATATGTATTACGTATTACTTTGTAATTAGATAAAATTTAGGAGAGCATGTTCAGAACAGGATAATATTGCCACAGAACCGCCCCATATAGACTTCCACACCACGGTCAGTACTATAAACCTCCCTTATATATATATATATATGTATGTATATTACATTATAGTACTATATATTATTTTTTTTTTTTTTTTTTTTTTTTTTTTTTCAGTACTTGTAAATGAATCTCACATGACTCATGACTCTACATGTACCCTGAACCGTTTTCTTTTATTGTTAAGTTGAATTTTGAAAGGAAGTGGCAAGCTATTTACGTTGGCGGCTTCCTTATTCACAAGAGCAAATCCGATTGCCTCGTGAGTTGACGGTCGGAAGAAGGGGGGCTTGAAATTTGGTGAAATTATGGAAAAGGAAACACTCAGAATTAAATGTTAGTTTGGTGAAATTATTGAAAAAGTGGTTATGTTCATATTTCAAAACAGTTAAAGCGGGCTTGAAAGCTCCATCTAACTAAAACATTACACGTTTAGCTAAAAAGTCTAAAGTAGAACAGAATTTGAATAACATAATACGAAGGGATAATTTCAATTTAGTAACCTTTGTTATTGTAAAATTGTCTTTCAATACCACGCGTTTTCAATAATTATAAATTGATATCTCTATCATGTAAAAAGTTAATTTTTGGTACCTTGAGGCCTTTTCTTAAGACAGAAAAAATGTTAAATTTGTCATTATTAGTAATTTTTAATTTTGGTTGACTCGAATTTAATTTTTAAGATTTTTAAAGCCATAAAGGATGTTTGGTTACCGAGATAAGTTTTTTTTTAAAGCCTTTAATAACTAGTAAATTCGGGTAGACAAAATCAAAAAGAGAGTTGCTCTGATAGTCTGTCCTACCGGTAGTCCTAGTTTTTTACTGTTGAATATAGTCAAAATCACATCAGATTAAAAAAAATATGCAGAACATATAAATTCTAATACATATCTGAGGACTGAAAAATAAGAGATTACCGGTAGTCTATTTTTGTAGGGACTACCAGAAAAAATCTAAATCAGAAATTATTAAAAAGGGCAAATTTGATATTTTATGTCCCAAAAAAGGACTTTAGGGTAGTAGAAATCAATTTTTCAAAAGATGGAGGTATTAATTTAAAATTTTAAAAAACATAGGATACTAAAAGATAATTTTACTATAACACATGGTACCAAATTGAAATTATACCTATTGTGAAACATATGAGCTGATTGTGAACCTTTTCTCTACTGGTATGCTCTTCGCCTTGTGCTGTTTGTGTGGTGTATTTGTTTTGTTTGAAGATTTTTTTTGATAGAATGTTTTGTTTGAAGATTGAAACTTCTGGAATATTCTAACTGCTAATTGTTGTTTTAATTCTAGTTAACAAATAATGTTGTTTTACGCTTTATGTCTTTCCATGCTATCAAGATTACCATTGGAATTGATTTTTTGCCAGAAACAACGTACATTGAAGATCGGAGAGTTTGTTTGCAGCTTTGATGGGTTGCTCGTTAAATTTCGTGCCAGGCCCGACACTAGGCTTGTAGGTTTTAAGACCGGATTGGGCCGATCATCTCTTTTAAGATTGGATTAGCCTGACTAAAAATATTAATATCCGGCTGCTTAAATTTTCACCTCTAATCAGAATCCGTGGGCGATTGTTAATAGATACCAAAACGAAGCATATTTGTGTAGACGTACACAATTATTCTTGATGAATTCTAAAGAGGACACCAGTAATATTTTTGAACAGTAAATGAGTAAATATAAAGACAAATTTTTTACAAAAAACAAAATTATATAGACAAATGATGTATAACAAAAAAATATGTTAGGCCTTTTTTTTTTTTTTTTTCGTTTTACCTATTACAGAATTTCCCCAAATAATTTGAGACAAACTTATAGATGCCAATAGATCTATAAGCTCAATACAATTACAGTAAAATGTTATTCTGACAATTTTTTCTTAAGCTACAAGTAAAAGAAAGTGGAAGAGATGAATAACATAAAAACCAAAACAAACAATAAAGTTAAAACAGAGTAAGAAAAAGGGCGTGAGTGGAAAAGAAAATTAGTGTTTGGAAGTCACCTTCAGCCACCAAATACAACATTACTTATTTGTCCATTTTTTCTTACGCTCCAAATAAGATAAAACAGGAAAATTACAAGTAAAAACCACCAAAGATGAAAGACATCAATAAAAACAAAAATTAAAACATAATAACTTGCTTCATTACACTTTTAAATAAAATGGAATAATAAAAAATTGTGTTCGTATTTCTTCATTTTTGTCATTCCTTTATTTGTCCTTAAACATAATAGATTTTAGTTGCTTACTCATGAAACCAAATTTGATATAGCAACCTACATATAAAGCTACGTTGTAGCCAAGAAAAAGGGGGAAAAAGAGTCAGAATATATATATGTATATATATATATATCAGAAAGTACATGTACTAGGCATCTAAAGATAGCTTACGAGCAAATAAAGATAACATGAAAGTTAAATTCAAGAGTACGAAGAAACAAACAAAATTGTGACTTTATGAAAATATAAAAATACTGCCGGTTGCTACCTAAAATTCTAGTTTTCTAGTCATTGTCATGAAGAATACACAAGAAAAAACCATGCAAATAAGATAAGGGAAGGGGTCGGCGGTTATATTCTAAGATCCAGAAGAATCAACATTATTTCAAGAGGCCAATGACAATTTAAGGTGAAAACTGCATTCAACTTTATTAGCAGAAAAACTGATAATTTATTTTTTGTTTTTATTTTTTATTTTTGCTTAAACTGACAACTGATATACAACAGTCTTAACAACTTTTAACCCCAAATATGACTATTGCCGAATGGCAAGAATCTTTAATAGCATCAACGCTCCTACTCTGTCTCATAGAGTTCTATACTCTCATCACCCAATATATAAATAGAAAACTTTTCATGACTACTTTGACGTAGAGAAATTTAAAATGGCGGGTTTGAACTTGAAACTTCACATATTCTTGAATATTATCTTATCCATCGTCATCATTTGCTCTCCAGCCTCTAAATCATTCTCTACCAAAAGTTTCCTTAAATGTTTCTCTCCTCATCTAAAACACAACTCTAAAATGGTCCCAATTTTTTCGGAGATAATTCTAACTAAAAACAGCTCATCTTACTCCTCAGTCTCACAATCTTCTATCAGGAACAGAAGATTTTTAAAAACGCCGTCGCGGTTAAAACCCGAAATCATTCTCACCCCGTTCCACGAATCCCACGTCCAAGCAGCAGTAGTTTGCTCCACGCAAAACGATATCCAAATCAGGGTTCGAAGCGGGGGACACGACTACGAAGGCTTATCTTATGTCTCCGATCATTTCTCTCCTTTCATGATCATCGATCTAAACAATTTTCGTTCCATTAAAGTAGACATAGAGAAAGAAGTCGCTTTTGTCCAGGCTGGTGCATCTGTTGGAGAGTTGTACTACAAAATCGCCGAAAAAAGCGGAGTTCATGGATTCCCGGCGGGGTCGTGCCCCACAGTAGGAGTTGGAGGACAATTTAGTGGAGGTGGTTTCGGAACAATATTCAGAAAATATGGTTTAGCAGCGGATAATATTATCGATGCGATAATTGTCAACGTTAAGGGAGAAATTCTTGATAGAAAGTCAATGGGGGAAGATCTTTTTTGGGCCATTAGAGGTGGCGGAGGGTCGAGCTTTGGAGTCATTCTTTCATGGAAAGTCAAGTTGGTTCGCGTTCCTCCAACTGTTAGCATATTTCACATCCAAAAGACACTTGAAGAAGGTGCAACCAAGCTCTTCCATAAATGGCAAAGGACCGCCAATCGCATCCATGAAGACCTCTTTCTTCACGCTACGACCGGAGTGGCAAGTACAAACGAAATCAACCGGAAAACCATTAAGGTTTCATTCACGTCGTTGTTTCTCGGAACAGCTCAGAAGCTCGTCTCTTTATTGGAGGAAAGCTTCCCAGAACTAGGCTTGGAAATTAGCAACTGCACAGAGATGAGTTGGATTCAATCTGTTCTTTATTTTGCGGGGTTTTCGACCGATGATCCTCTAGAGGTTTTGCTCAACAGAAATATGACGGCCGGTTTCTTCAAAGCCAAATCAGATTACGTGAAAGAAGCCATTTCAGAAGCTAGTTTAGAAGTTATATGGAAGAGACATATTGAAGATGAGGGATCGGTTTTGATTTGGACACCTTATGGTGGAAGGATGAGTGAGATTTCGGATAGCGAAATAGCTTTCCCACATAGAAATGGGAATTTGTACGGAATTCAGTACTTAGTTTATTGGAGTGAAGATAACGAAACTGCAAATCATATAGGATGGATGAGAAGGTTTTATAGTTATATGGAAGCCTATGTTTCAAAGTCTCCAAGAGCTGCTTATCTCAACTACAGAGACATTGACATTGGCAAGAATGATATTGGTAATACAAGCTATTCAAAAGCGTCTACTTGGGGGGTCAAGTATTTCAAGCATAATTTTAAGAGACTTGTTAGTGTCAAAACCAAAGTTGATCCTTGCAATTTTTTCAGGAACGAACAAAGCATTCCTGTCATGGAATCTTAATATATATATATATATATGTGTGTGTGTGTGTGTGTAGAAAATAATTCAGCTATAAACAATTTTTTCAAGATGTTATGTTTGTTTGGTTATAAGCAAGTTAATTGTTGTTTGTGGTTTCAATTTTTGTCGTACACTTCATTAGCTATCTATCTGTTTCAGCATATAATAAGTACGGATGTTCTCGTTCTGCCAAATTTTGTCACTCATTGCCATGTTAGTTAAAGCGAGACTCGTGAAATTTGTTTTCCCTATCTTCTTATTTATTTAATGCTTATATAGTGTGTATGTATCTGTATTATAATCCCAAAGGACTGGCCCCGGTTCTCGCCCGCCCCAAATTGTGAGACAAGAAGTCCAGAGTTCAAGATAGCAAACATTATTCTTCTAGTATGAACTCATCTATGTGAAAGAAACGCATATACTATTATGACTTCATCCGTTTCACCATTCAAATCATAACTTAAATGTTTTACTATGGTATTTTCTCTCACATAAATCTACTTTTCAGCTCAAATTCTCAATTAGAACAAGCGAAATCAATAGGCCTTTAGAGCATAAGTATGCTCTAATTCATTCCACAGAATCTGCCAAAAAAAAAAGAACTAATCAAGAAAGATATAGTGGTAATTGGAAATCATCAAAGATTCAAAATCATATTGAAACAATGCCGTAAGCATATAATTAAATAAAATGAACGTAAGTATGATGCCACATACGTATCCTTGCATAAATATGATACATATATACTGTAAGGTTTATTTTTTACGGCAGGTGTTATAAAGAGTGTTACAACACTTTCAATAACACTGGTGATTAATAGTTATTTCTAGATTGAACAACAAATAACTAAGCCTGCAGAAAATAATGCTAGAAAACTAAAAAACACTAGAAAATAGTATCGTGATTCGGTGCACACACACCCAGACAATAAACAATCTACTAAGATTAAAATATTACAAAACACCAGTTGGTTTTACACACTCCAAGACTCCCTCCTTAATGATGTCACCACTGTGAAGAATCTTCTAAGTGGCATTGTTCAGCGGGCACCACTCGTCTTTGAAACTGCAAATAAACTCCCTTTGATTGACAGACTTTTTCCCAAAAACAATACGTTCTCCTCTTAAAGAACACACTTTTGCACTCACTTTTTCAAGGGCTCACATGCTGAGACTTTTTCTCAAGAAGTTTCTCTCAAAAACTCACACACTCATGAGCAGCTTTTTCAGAATGATACACGCCCCCAAAACAAAAGTCCGACCTGTTCTCAAAACGACAATAATCATCCCCACTGCAGCAATCAATCAAAAATACTTGCCATAAACAACCTCCATCCGATATCTGCTAGAATCACAAGACAAAATCATTCCAAATCTGGCGAAAATAACCAGAAATAGAATCTCCATGAACTGTTTGTACCTGTTTTTTTGAATGTTTACAATACATTGCCAACACAAAAAACCCAACATATACCGCCGTGAGCGAGTAAAATGTCTTGCAGAAAAACAATATGCGATAAGAGCTAGCTAGTTATTCTAGAGAGGAGCAAACCTGAGTTTGTTGTGAAATAGAACGAGAAAAAAGCACTAATTGATCCCTAATTAAACAAAATCGCTACTGGGGTTAGCTGCAATGGAGGAGGTAATATCATTTTGAGTAAAACGGCTGCTACTAGTTTTATCTTCAAAATCCAAATCGCTAAGATAAGTTGGCTTTGATCTAGCAGTGTCTATTAAATCAATGTCTCCGGCAAGCATTCCGACGACACGTGACATTGGCGGCCGCATCGTGGGCGAGGCTTGAGTGCACAGAAGAGCCACTCTTATCAATCTGACGGCTTCCCTTTCATCAAGATCCGCCAAGGATGGATCCACCATGAGATCCAAACTTTCGTTATTTTCATGTAAACTCCACGCCTGTGAAAATCCAAGTAGTTTACAGCAGGATTGATTAATAAACTCTCTTGGTTACTTCCTAAAACCTGCAATATGCTTGGTTTTGACGGATATAAGAGTATCTATAATCCAATACCAAATTTTTATGTCAAAACAAAATTTGTTGGTTATTATGTAAAAAAAGCATTCTCCATTATGGTAAAATTCGATATTATGGCTGAGGTATTTAGAAATAGTGAAAAGAGCAAAAAAAAAAAAAAAACAAGATTTTTGATATATCAAGTTTTACCAAATTCTTAAAAATTAAAAAATAAATCGCGCATTTAATCTTAATGAAAGGAATGTATAACTGTCTCTATAAAATAAAGTCGCTTATATTTTTTAAGATTAAAATACAACAGTGTTCCCTTAACTTTAAAGTCATTTCTACTTTACCCTCTTAAATTTTAAAAACTCTCAATTCGTACTTAAATTTTGAATTAATCCCACTTAAACCTTTCTTTTAAAATTTATAGAAAAATGGAGTGTTAAATAAGATCACATGGTTCTTTTCATTCAATTTTAAAGAAAATTATAAAAGACGAGGCTAAGTGAAACTAATTTAAAATTCACATAGCAAATTATATAATTTTTAAAGGGTAAAGTAAGAAAAACTTTCTAACTCCGCCACTAAAAAGTATGACATGCTATGTTTCGTACCCGTTCAAGGAGATAAATCTTTTCATTGTCCTGGGTATAGAAGTTTGGTCGTCCACTAACAACCTCCAAAGCAACGATACCGAATCCAAAAACATCAGCCTTCTCTGTCAAATGGCCACGCAATGCATATTCTGGAGCCAAATAACCTCTACAACATCACAAAATGTTAATTCAGTTCCATAACCATAAGGTAACTGAGATGTTAAGGCAAGAATTGGTTAAAAAACTTACATTGTCCCTGCAACTCGTGTGCTCATGTGGGTTTTATTGTCATCATAGAGCTTTGCCAAACCAAAATCTGATATTTTGGGACAAAGTTGTTCATCAAGCAAAATATTACTAGCTTTAACGTCTCGATGCACAATCCTTGGTCTGGATTCCTCATGAAGATAAGCAAGTCCTCTTGCTGTTCCCAAGCATATATTGAAGCGGGTCTTCCAGTCCAGGTGCAAGTCATTCTTTCCTGCAGTCGTCAACGTGCGGAGTGATACTTTGTTCTCTGGGATTCAACTTGTAAATGTAACGTACTCAATAGATTTGTATATACCAAATAGTGCTTGATCAAGACTTTTGTTTTTAAGGTACTCGTAAACTAGGATGCGTCGATTTCCCTCGATGCAGAATCCATACAGTTTCACTAGATTGCGATGTTGCACGACAGATATTGTGACAATTTCGGATACAAATTGTTCATTTGCATGATGAGATCCTACTGAAAGTTGCTTAACGGCTACTTCTCTCCCATCAGAAAGCGTACCCTATAAGAGTAAGACATTTCAATACAAAGAAAGGAAAGCTAAATGTGAAATAAAGTCATTATGCATACTTGGAGCTATTATTTTCAAGCAGAAAACTATGTTTGATCATCTCAATCGACCTTATAAACACGGCCAAATCCACCGTCTCCTAGCTTATTTGAAGATGCGAAGTCTCCTGTGGCAGCTTGTAGTTCAGAGTAACTAAAAGCATCGGCGTTGTGGCAGCCTATTCCAAGAAGTCCTACATATTTAAGCCAGAATATAACATATAAAAATACTGAGATTATGACAAGACTAGAACTTTAATTTATTTGAATGCTTTTACCTTCCTCATCCTCATTGTTTGATTTTCGCCGAAAATAAAGTACTATTAGTACCAACATAAGACCCACAACAACCACAACAGGGACCGTAATACCTATAATCAACCCTGTGTTGTTGTTCTTGTCTCCTTGAATATGTGTTAAATGATCTGAGCAATAAAAAAGTAAAATTTTTCAGTAGAAATAGGAGAAATGAAGCATGTTAAACCATCATAATATAGATACAACTTTGTACAAATATTACCTGAACTAGCATGAAGAGCCGCTATCAATGGACCGTAGTAACCATGCCTCGGTATACAGCAGGTTCCCTTACCAGCCCAAAACAAATGGATTTCAAGATAGTTCTCCGAAACGGTGACAGTGAAGTTCTTCACTTTTGCTTTCTCTACCCCACCAGCTTCCTTTGCAATTTCAAAGTCTTTTTGTTCTAGACGTCCCTGAAAAGAAAATGATGAATAAGTGGTTCAAAAACTGTATGGGAAAATCTTTGCTCTCTGCAGTTGATTCTAACTTGTAATGCACGGTACCATAACTTCCTTTTGGTGTAATTTACCATTTATTTACCTGAATATAAATATCAAATACGCGTCTTGCAAGGCCTGGCCACGTCTCTGAGTCCCGATTTGGAAAACCAATTTCTGCAAAGTGCAAGGTTATAGTGTAATTTCCATTCACAAGGCCAAGACCATAGTATCTTAGTGATCCTGGGGTCATCCTTGCTGTTTGGAAAAGCACTGGGTTCTCATTGCTGCCAGTAACTTCTGCCTTCGTGCTTTCGAGATCTAGATCACCTCTTTTGTCAGCAAACAAACCCACCTTGCTGACTGCCCACATCTCATTTATTACATAAAACTTGGCCGGCCCAAGAACAAACTCGTCAGCTTCATACACTGTGCCATCATGTCCTTTAAACTGAGGTCCACCACACTTGATTGCGAAGCTTGTATCTGAATTTTTCATTAGAAAAAAGTATTATGATTGATGTTACATGAGAGAACAATGCAATAGTTTTCACTTCAATTCATAAATGAATTTTCACGAATAATTTGTCAAATAAAAAGTAATTTACGGAGGGGGGGATTTCTATTGCATGAAAAGTTTCTTTGAAGACAGTACAGGTCAGAAAGAACTCTGCAAACAAACAACAACAACAGTTACTTCTTCGAAAGGTAAGAGACATTTGTTTAGGGGGGGAAAAAAAAAGTTGTCATTTGCAGGAGTCTTCCACTCACGCTCTGCTTGAGTTATCCAATGTGAAGTTGTTAGCCACTAAGTTCCTTCCAAAAAGGGGAAGAAAAAATCTAATTACTATTGCAAAAAACTGAAGCGGTGATAATCATGCAAAAATATGCACACCCGTACACTTTACGGCTCCGTTTGGTTGGACCCTAGAGGGATGGAGAGGAGGAAGGATGGAAAGAGTTAGAAGGACGGAGAAGATAGAAAAAGAGGACTACAATATGTTAAAAGATGATAGTTATTTGGTTAATTACTATATTATTTATTTATACAATATGTTATTATTATTTTACTATAATGTCCTCTTCCTCTCTTCCTTCCAACCAAATACGGACTTGGTCCTCTCCCTCCACCTCTCTCCTTCCACCCGTCTTACTCCCTCCATCTCTCCCTCCAACCAAACGCATTGTGAGGCATGGAGAAGAATCTTTGAATATTTATAACAAGGAGGTAAAATTTGAAAGAAGACATACAAGTGCGATAGCGAGCCGACCCATCGTGGCAAGCGTCCCGACAGGAAATTGTATGACAAATCTCTGCACATAAAAAAGTGTCCAACCATGAGTAAGTAGATATTATATGGTGCAGAAAAAATAAAAAATAAAAAATCAATCCGTTTATGTACTCTACCGCATGTTCTTTACAGAATAACACCATCGAGGTTTCTGTTAGCAGCTTTATTAGTTAGCAACTAAGGTTCACGTTTACTAACCAAATAGTGTAATTAAGGTAATTCTAATTCCTAATAGCGAAGTAAAGAGGACTTGAACAGAAGCTTGAATTCCTTTCCTTATTCGTCTTCTTCAAACCAGGTCTCTTTTAAATCACATTTCAATGCCATAAGTAAGTAGTCCTGGCCCAAGTATCCAAATAAGCGAAATGGAAGCTATAAAGTTTATATCCTTTTCTATAGGAAAAAAGTACTTTAGTCCCTTAAATACGACATAATCGCTTCTTGGATTCAGTAATATTGTTATGTTCTATGAATATTAAAGCAGTTGACTCGTCATAATATACATACAAGAACTTACATATTATCAAGATTGGGACTCCATTCATCGGGAAGGGATCCAGATAGGCTATTGTTTCCAAGAAATCTGGCCATTTCAGTAGTAGCATAAGGTCAAAACCAAGCCACCGGAAAAGTTAAAAGGACAAGAACAAAAGAGGTGATCAGTTTAATTTGAGGAAGCTCTTAGGTTTCGACCTTTGAATCTGGTTGAAGAAAAGAAATCTAAGAGATTATAATGAAAGCAGTAATCTTATTTACAAGTATGTCAGATTACTCAGGTTGAACAGCAAACTAGGAATCGTTCCTGTTAACCTATTGAAACTCAAATCCCTGCATATATCCATGAAAAAAAGTTAAACAAGTAACAAATATAATGACAACTGTATTTTTTTTACTAAGCGGCGTGCCCTTGCGACTTGTGTTTATTTCTCTATGAGAACATACAGCGTTTTTAGACGTCGGAGTTCGGTAATAGGAGGTGGTATGGGACCAGAAACCAATGCATTTCTTAGAATTCTGTCGGAAGAAAAGAAAACTAGCAGTAAGTTAAATGGTTAGGAGGATAAATGCATGAGAAAGTATACTACAGAAAATAAGATGATGTACATCTGACATGGAATCAAGGAGTTCTTTACTTACAACTCAGTTAAGTTCTCCCAATTTTGAACAAAATCAAGGGTAGAACTTCCGGTGTATAAATCGCCAATTCGCCTGCATATGAATTAGGAACAAATAAAATTAATATTTAGTCTTGTTCCTACAGGGGAACTGGGAAGACAGATCAATAAGAGAAATTTTCCTATCTCTCTACATACTTACAGGGATTCCAATGAGGTCAACTGAGAAAAACTGGATGGTATGGGACCTTCAAGAGAGTTACCTTGTAAAGTCCTACAAAACATTTGAGACTTGTGAAACTAAGGGGCTGTTTGGTGCATAGGTTCATACACTGGAGCTGATTTAGAACCGGCTTTAATTGATGTTTGGTAGACTAATTTGGTACATCAATTTGGACTGTGGAGCTCCTTTAGAACCGGCCTAAATTGGCAATTTACGGATTTACTCCCTTATATCCAAGGAATCCTAACCGAAATATCAGTTCCGGTTTACTCTCTCAAACTGATGTTTTCAAGACGTATCTAAGCAAAATTCGGATTTTATTCTTTGTTCGAATTTACACTTTAATTACATATTCAAACGCCAGTTCGGATTGCAATATAAACCGCACAGTTCAAATTTTACAGATCCAACGAAAAAGTTTAAAAACTCTAAAGTTTGAACCAGCGTAACAAACAGATCCTAAAATCTCATCACATAAGTTCTGGTCTATCTACATGATCAGAGATTTCCTATACTCACAAATTTGTTAACTTTGTCCAGTTGCCAATGAAGTCTGGTATCTTCCCTGAAAAAGGAGTGTCCAAAGCATCCCTGATATTTGACAACATATATATAGCTAAGACAAGTGCAGCCAAATTAGTCTTTTAGCATATGAAAGTAGTCGAATTGCATTCCTTACAAGACTCGCACTTTTCGAAGATTACTAAATTCGGATGGAATTTCACCGCTTATTCCAGAACTGTCGATGTAACTGCACAAACAAAATTGAGATGAATGTGGTTTTCAAGACATTAGCACAGAATAGCTTACTAGAATGATGCTTAAGGTGAAGTGGATTTGGAGTGAACAAATACTTTTAACCACTCAAGTTTGGAACACCTTTTAGCATCGACATTATTGTATAAAACTTCAAATTGAACCTTAAAAGATATAATTTCAGTTTCATAATTAAAAAGCATCTAATTGCAGAAAGCAATGACATTGGCCTTCCTATTAAAACACACATAAATTGGCCTATTAAATAGTGAAGCCTCTGTAGAACACCTTCAATATTAGTTGGCTGCAAGTATATTCAACTCATAGATGTCAAATCCTGGCTAAGATTTTCATACTAGAAACTCTACATCAAAGCTACAATAACTAAGAAAACTTATAAATTGGTAGAGGCACTTTGTAATAATGAAACAGACTTACATTAGCTCAAGGTTGAGCAAGTTACCAAGTTCTGGGGGGAGTGATCCAGATAAATTATTTGATCCCACAGCGCTGAAAAACATATATTAAAGATATATGACTATATGAAAAGCATTTAATTAGGAGTAATCTGTCAAGCAAAAAAAAAAAAACAAAAAAAAAACAAAGGAACCAAAGTGATACAATACTCATAATTCAGGGAATGGTGATGATAATGACTCTAAAAAAGTATTGACTGTACGAAAGCAGTCATTCGCACTGGCAGGGATTACAATGAGTAGTCTTTGATGTTGTTTGCATAGAATGCTAATGGTAAAAAATTCTAATTAACCAAAAACTCATCATTAAGTAACATCAAAGTCAAAGCTTACAAGTCAGTAAATACCCAAGTCATAACAATAAGTAATCGTTAAGTAACATCAAAACTATATCACACAACCTAACAAAATTTAAGCAAACTAAATGTGTTGGCAACACACATTCTAGTCATAACAATAAGTAATGGTTAAAGTGCTGGAACAGCACTGTGTTTTTTGGCAACACACATTCTAGTCATATTTTGCAAACTAGGTAAGTTATACAGCTCTCATGATTTCATAAATCATTGCTCATATATCTTGTAACAAGCTCCCGAAGGCTTTCAAGTTTAGTTTGCATTCGGAATATTTGAAACTTACTACATTTTAATTCAGTGTCATTTCAAATTTTGGGTTAATCTCAACGGTAGCTTCTGAATTTTGGGGTTTGCCAATTTATCTCCTGAACTTTAAAAACTCTAATTTTACTCTTTAAATATTAAATTAGTCTCACTTAATCTCTTTGTTAAATTTTCTGTTATAAGTGGTTATGAGGTCATTTTATATTTGTCTTTAATAAAAATTCTAACAAAAAAACCATATAATCACACTACTACATTTTTTCCGTCCATTTTTAACAAAAACTTTATCAAATGGGAATAAGTAGGACAAATTCAAAATTCGGGATTAAAAAGAGAATTTTTAAAGTTTGGGCGTCAGATTGGGAATGTAATACCCGAGATTTAATTAAGCCTTAAGCCAATAATAAATAAATTTAGTAAATTAAATCATGCACCACATTTACCATTTATCACAAAGTTATTTGTTGGCATTATATTTTATTATTATAGCTATCATATGATTTTATTAAGCTTATAGCTTTGCTAATTAAGTTTTTAATGTGCAGTGCAACTAGCTCGATGTGAAAACTCAATGTGCTAAACTTATGAAGCAAAAAATGATATTTATTATGATTATTTAATATGATATTTTACCTCTATTATGATTGATTTAATGATGAATTATTATTTTATATTTTTATTATATGATTTTATGTAAATGTGTTAAGGACTAAGTTGCTATTTTGAGTTTTTGTGGGAGAAGGCTATGTTAGCAAATTGAGTGAACTTTAAGCACCTAATTGAAGAAGAAAAATATAGACTTTAGAGCTGATTTTATGAGGTTATGACAATTGTTAGAGGCTTAGAAAAATCTAGACACTTGTTGTACTATAAGGTCACACTACTTTTGCTTGGTTTCTATCAAGTTTAGACTTCATTTTTGGGTCTATTTCAACAAAAAAAAAACCCCCCTCGAACACCAACCGTAGCATTTTCTTCTCTCTTCTCACTCCTTTTCTCACCCAAAACTCAGAATCAAACCTAGGTTTTCAAGAGAGAATGACCTAAAAACTCAGCCAGCCCATTTCAACTCGTTTTTCAACGTAGTTCCAAAAAAAAAAAAAAAAAAACTATCAAGGTTTTGAGCTTCTATTCACTTTGGAACGAGTTTTTCTTTGAGATAACTTCTTTCTTAAGTTAGAAACTAAGATTTTAAAGATTAAGATGTTAAAATCCTACTTAAGATCTAGATTTTTGATGTGGCTTATCATGCATGTTGGTTGTAGACCCTTAAAAATGAGTTTGTTGAGGTTTTGGTTTAAATATTAGTTTATAGGTGAAATTAATGATTTTAGCTTGATATTTTTGATGATTATTTGAAGATAAACATTTATTAGGATGATGATTCATGTATTTGAGAGTGGGTCTTGAAAATTAAGATTTGCATGCTAGGTATGATGAAATGTTCAAATATAAGTCCTCTGTACAGCTTATGTAGATTTTGTTTTCATGCTATATATATTTATGATTTTGACTATTATATATTTTTTTATTAAACTATACATCTCAAGTTTTACGAGAGTTTTTGAACCACTCTAAACGGAGTTTTCTACATTTAGTTATGAATTTTATAAGTTCAACTAAAAAGATGTTATTTTTATGATGAGATTTTACTTCAATCCGGATTTCGGGCTGTTTTTGGTTAGTTTAAAAAATCTGAAACTTATCACTTATTAGCTCTAAAAAGAGGGTTTTGAGTCTACTTTTATTTGCCACTGGTCTCATAATATTTTAAGTTTTGATGAATTGGTTATGAATATTTTCGTAACAATGCGCAGTTATGTGTTTTGTTAAATGATTATATGAAGGTGATTTTTGAAAGCTATGTTTTTAAAGGTTAATTAGCACATTGAAGGCTCCCCACAACCAGCTAATTTGTGCTTGCAAAGTGGTGATCGAAATTCAAGTAAGTAGAGTTAAAGCATTTTCCATACTGCATCATAAGACCTATTTGACGAAATAACTTATTCAGAATTGTAATTTATGCAAATTTATTCTCTTATGAAATTCTTATATGATTATGTTCAAAGATATCCATGATTAATTATTTTGAAAGAGATTATGATATTTGCTTTTATGTTTTTACGTTTTAAGAGATTTTATGGTATGGTATATGGATGAGAGGCTCGGTAAGCAAGGGTGCGAGGAACCGGTGCCCCAAATTAGAATAACTGTCTCTTTAAGACAACTAGAGAAAAATGTTAGTGGGAAGTCACTTGTTGATCACAAGAGAAAGAGATTCTAAAAATCCCACTTAGTGTTTAAGAGAAGAGAATTGGCCAAAATTAGAGAATGTCATGTATAGAAAGGCTTACTTAGAACTGAAGTTCTATATCATACCTAAACTAAGAATAAGTATGAAATTTTATGAATAATGTTTAACAAAGAGATTTCAGCCATGGAGATTTTAGATACTTACTTTATTTGAAATCTACTTACTGAGTTTTTGCTTATTAATTTTACCTTGTGATGTATATGATGTTGTTGTTACTGAAGAATAAAAAAAATAATTTTCAGGATTGGCTGAGTACTCCAAGTCCTACATCTGGCATCATGCTTATATGTACTTCTAAACAATAGATGGACCCAAAATGTTTTTTTGTTACTATGTCGCTTTTGAATAACTGTTTAATGTCTAAGATTTATGGTTGTAATCATTTTGCGCACTGACTCATTTTGTTCAAAAACCTTTACGAAAATTTTGTGATGAAATCAACCACAAGTTTCTGCATCTTAAAAATGACATTTTTTTAAGTATAGAAAGTATGTTTTAAGTAGCACCGCCTCGCTAAATTCGGCCTTAGACCAGTTTAGCATTGGGAGCATTACAGTTTTGGCATCAGAGCCCAGTGTTTTATATTTCTGAAGACATTGAAGTACATATAGACAAGTGGTTGGATAAGAAACTCAACCAATCAATAATGTTTATGATTTTCAATGTATAGATTAATATCTTTTTGACCTAAAGGTTAGAATGAGGTGTTATAGCATAATGCCTCCTAGAAGATATGCTAGAGATCCCCCGAATGTCGACATAGCTCAAATATTTGCTGGATTAACTGCATTAATTCAGCAACAGGCTGATCAACAGAGACAACAAAATGAGTTTATGAGACAACAAATGCAAATACAAGCTAAACAGTTTCAGCAACAAACAGAGCAGTTTCATAACATGATGGCACAACAAGGAGCCCAACATGCAAATTAGCCTCCACCTCCCCCTTGACAGCAAAGACAAGATAATTTAAAACCTTTTTATGAGCGTTTTAGGAAGCAGCGTCCTGATGATTTTCATGGTGGACCCGATCCACTAATTGCTGAAGAGTGGATCAATTTTATAGAAAGTATCTTTGACTACATAGTTATGGAAGATGCTCAACGAGTTTCATGTGCTATTCAATTGCTAAAGAATAATGCTAGGCATTGGTGGGCATCTCTTAAGTTGACTCTAGCTGCTACCAACCTTACATGGAATGGTTTCAAAGAACTATTTTACAACAAGTACTTAACTGAGCAAGTAAAGAAAAGTAAAGTGGCTGAGTTTGTGGGATTAATATAGGGTACTATGACTGTTGATGACTATGTCACCAAATTTGAAGGACTTTCAAGATTTGTTCCATGAATAGTAGGTAATGACGTGAAAAAGATGAACTTCTTCATTAAGGGTTTGAATGCAGCTATCTATAAGGATGTGAGCATGTCGAGGCCTCAGTCGTTCAGCGAAGCAGTTAAATTGGCTATGATATCTTAGAAGGGTATTAAGAGACAAGAATTAGAGAATAAAGTTGCTTATGCCGCTAAGAATGGCCAATGGAAACCAAGAACAACTGCAGCAAAAGGGAAACAAAAGCAAGAGTACTCCAAGTTCTACATCTGGCATCTTGCTTATATTTACTTCCACACAATAGATGGGCCCAAAATATTTTTTCGTTACCATGTCACTTTTGAATAACTGTTTAATGTCTAAAATTTGTAGTTGTAATTATTTTGCATATTGACTCATTTTGTTCAAAAACCTTTACAAACAGTTTGTGATGAAATCAACCACAAGTTTCCGCATCTTAAAAATGACATTGTTTTAAGTATAAAAAGTATGCTTTAAGTAGCACAATCTCGCTAAATTCGGCCTTAGACCGATTTAACGTTGGGGCGTTACAAGGAATTATCTCAAAATTTAGAAGCAATAGTAAAAATAATCCTTATTTTTGTTTATATATAATTGAAAGTACAAAAGTATTTCACTCTTAATACGAGATTGTTTGAGTTAGGGGTTTTTATTGTTAGGATAGATGAATTATTTTAGATCCATCCCCCGAAAGAATTGGACATGATAATTTTACATTATCAACTCAAGCACGAATCAAACAAACTAAATAGATGCATTTAAAATAATCGTATGTTATCCACATCCACACGTATATGAATAAAATAAAAATTCACTAATTTCCTTTTCATTTCGTAGGTTTAGCAATCAAAGATTGTAAAGAATCATGTTCTAAATGCTCAATACCCAAGTAGACTTATAAAGTTGATTATAAATATCAAGGCCTTTTATATAAAGGATTTACTCGTTACAAATAGAATTTAGACTCTATTCTTTTTCAGATCTCTTCTTTAACTCAGATATTATAATATTTCAAGTCAATGCATAGGAAATGATCCATTTACATACTATGAAGTAAGTGAAATATAAAATCAAAGTTGATTATTCTCAAATATTAAAAAATTGAAGATCAAAGTTACTACATTTGGATTTCTCTCAGAGAATTATCATTTGGTTTAGGGAGTTTCTCTGGTAAGACCATAAAAATAAACTTCCGTTAGTTTTTTAACGTTTTAACTGTCTGATATGTATTAGATATTGTCTGTTTTACATATTTTTTTAATCTGATGTGATTTTACCTAGATTCAATGCTAAAAAACTTGCACTACCGGTAGAGAGGCTTATCGGAAAAGTTCCTTTTGTTTTATGCAGGGAATTGTGTCTTTTTAGTAGCCAATTTTGCCTAAATCTGACACTATGAGTGATCTGGTGTGATCAGAAAAACACAAAGGTGACTTTGTGTGATTTGAAAAAAGTAGATGATATCGCAACATTAACGAAGGGCATAAGATAAAATCGAAACAAACTTTAAATAAATATTGGGGGTGATTTTTTTCCCTAATGCGTCCATGAAGATTTAAAGAATAATTTAGATGAAACCTATAAAATAAAGCTATATGCAGAGGCAACAACTTCTAAATTTGATACTAACTGTTCTTTGTTCTATCCAACCTTACATGGCTTTGATATGTCTTCCATACGTTTTAGGATAAAATATGCACTTAACAAATCAAGAGATTGAAAATTATATCTCAGATAACATACGTTCCCCTATTTAAAAAAAAAAAAAACAAAGGAATAGCATTAAATTAATATTTGCAAACAAAGACTTCATATTAGTGTTTGAGGGTTCAAACCAGACGGTCTGAATCAAAATTTAAATTTTGTAAGAGAAAACATGTATTAGAACTTTTTAAATTTAAATTTTTTTATGAGAGAAAATATTATTTGAACCAAAACCATGGTGGTTTGAAGTCTCAAACCAAACATGCACAAAGTCTGATAGCTTACAGCATAATTAATTCTTAAGGCTTCCTAGCTCCTTCGGAATGGTCCCATGAAATGTATTGTGGCCAACATCCCTGAACGGAACCAACAAAAAAATGCCCATCAATAATCTACTTGAAAATATGTTGCCTTTGAATCAAAGAATGTTTTATCATTGGCCAATGCATTATGTACAAACTCAAACAACTAAAAAACTTGAGTAATTCACACGTCTTCAAAAGATAATCCTATTCTTCATGATGCTCTTGCAAGACTTTATGGTTTTTAGTTCTCTCCTGCTATTGTCTAAAAGCAAAAGTAAAAACATGCTAAATAGGCCTTTTATATCTGAGAATGCTAGCATCATTATTTCTGTCACTCTCTTTGTCACTTTCTACATTCACTGTTTGATACGTGGACTGTATTAATAAGATATATTATTAGTTAAACATAAAATGAGATAATAGAGTCCACGTTTCAAACAATAAATGCAGAAAGTGAGACAAAGAGTGAAAGAAAGAGTGATACTAGCATTTCTCTTTTTATGTGTAAGATTAATTGCTTTGGTAATAGTCCAATAGAGATTATTTGTGAGTCGCTAATGTTCAGTTGAAATGATCTCTAGCTTGTAAGACAAAACGAGGGAAACGAAGTTGGACAATTTCTTCTTTAAATATACTTACAAATATTGCAGCGCAGTCAAATCTCCAAGGAATGGTGGCAAAGTACCGGTGAAGTAATTTAAGAGGATTTTCCTACATATGTTTGAAGATTCAATTTTAACTCTAAAATGTACCCTGAACCGTTTTCTTTTAAACCATTATTTAAATACACGTTGAACTAATTATTATAATACTAATTTTTGCATACAGAAATGTATAATTATGTGGGAGAGAATAAAGTGATCCACTACGTATGCGAATCATCACAATAAAAAAAAAAAAAAAAAAAGGTTGCGAAAACTTTGGGAACGACCCAAGCAAGCAGCGAGGTAGGAGTACTTCAAAGAACCACACTCTCTACAGGGTTTGATGATGAAATGGCTTTCGATTGCTCTGAGACATGATTGGGTTGTTCATCCAGCAGCCAAAGTTACAACTGCCCTACCACAGGTACGGACGGTCATGTTGCGGTGGCCCGCAGAGGATACTGGTGGCCAGTATGCTGACGTGATGGCGAGTATATATGCTGACTAAGGATATGGCATTCCTTTTTTTTTTTTTTTTTTTTTGAGAGAGAGAGAGAACTGAGAAGGGATGATTGGTATTGGTTACACTATAGCCAGAGATAAAAAGAAAAATAAAAAAATAAAAGAAGAAAAGAGATGCATGTATGGTTATGCTTTTCTCAACTTATTTATCCGTAAGTTTTCTTTTTAACAAATAATTACAAGTCTAAAGTCAGCTGAGGCGGCTTAATTTGGATTTTTTTTTTTTTTTTGAGAAACTTAATTTGGAATTTTCTAATATAAAAATCTGCAAAAATTTGAAAAAGGGCTACTGTACTGTTCCTGGAGGATTTTTTTTTTCCTTTTACTGATATATATTGAAGAAAATTGTTTGGCTTTACTGGTAAATTTGAGATTTATTGCTCAATAATTATCTCGGCATAAATATATATGAGAATTATATTAGATTTATTTTGATTACCTCATCTAGGTGTACAAATATGAAATTAGTTTGCGTGTCATAACTTTTGCATTGATTCGCTAATAGCTTCTTTTTACTTATTTATTTATTTGTTTGTTTGAAAGTTAGCTAATACTAGCTTAGTTATCATCTGGACAAGGTAAGATCATGTATTGAACGGGTACATTTAAGCTGTAATTCATGTATGTATAGAAAGGGGAAAAAAAAAAAAATTATAGTACTGTATACCTTGTCATTCATTTTTAATAATAATAATAATAACAATAATAATTAAAAACAATAAAAACCTTTTAAAATCGACAACAATATCAAATAATAACATTAAAGTAAAAACCACTCTGAAGATCAAAAACAGACATTATGATTAAAAAAAAGAATTAAAAAACAATAATAACTCGCAAAAGGACGTCATATGTAAACGACATAGACAACAAAGGAGGCATCATGTTCACAACAAACCTAAAAAAAGGACATAAATTTGAAAAATCAACGCAACGACAGTGTTGAAAAATAACACTCTTGAAAAAGAAAAAATAATTTAAATGTGAAAGGACAATATTACCCTCAGAAAACAAATGTCCAACTTAAAAGCTAGTATTAGAATTTGATCAGAGAATTTTAGTAGACAACTATGGAATATGGACAGTGCTTCTTAGCTTTCAAGAAATTGCATGCTTTTTGGGCGTAATGCGAGAGTAAAATTTGTGGAGCACTTTTGCTCACAAGATGCTCGGCAAAAAGCCTCTTAGAGGGTCACAGTTATTGTCATCCAAGAATAGTACTGAACAACACCCTTTATATTTTGTTAACTTCATATTTTTGGTAACAAGTAACAAAATACAATTGCTCGTGCGCTCATGATCAATGCATATCTATTTGTAGATACTTATGCTGAGGCTGATCGTTTTTATTAGCCTTTTTGTACTGCATGAGACGCCGGAATCCTTGCTGCTAGGAAGCAGCCGCGAATGGCTTCAAGCCCTTGGACATGGGCTCATTCGGATGAGAGCGAAGCCTTCAACTTTCATGTGGCACTTGAGGTTGGCCACGCAGATGGGGAAGTCGCAGTAGGATGTCGAGTTCAATTGCCATTCCAAAAGTTCTTTTCCGTAGTAATCGCTCCACAGCAACATCAGTGTCACTTCCAAATTTTCACACAACGCCTTGCGTGATGAAGAGTATGAAGTCTAGTGGTTCTCCTTTCCGAATGATATAGCTCTTCTCTTTGTAGATCACTGGCTTCAGATAGTTGCAGACCGTTTCATATACGTTATCATCCATGTTTTGAAGCATTGGCACCTACATATACACAGCTCACATAATCAACAATAGCTTAAGGACAAAAACTCCTAATCAAAAAATTTATGCTCAAGGACTAATAAAAAAGAAAAGAAAAAAAAAAGATAAGGGACCAAACTGATGTTTTATTTTTGAACTCTAGAAATTGATGCTAAAATTTGTAGAATTAAAGCCAACACATACACTCATTTGACTTACTTTTTTCAACATAGGGAAGCAAAGGTGTTTCTTGACAGACATTCCAAGTGCAAAGGGAAGAATAGGCAGAAGATTGCTGATATCTACATCTTTGCCTTTTTGCAATCTCAGCCGTACATATCTCATAATCTTCTGCTTTATATCATGAGGAATTCTGTTTCTTGATATCCACAACTCTGCCTTTAGCTCTGATGTATTCCTGTCATGTTTTTTCACGTCCAATATTTTGGTCACCCATTCTGCAAATGTCTGTTTCACAATGTCTAATCAGTATACAAATCAAAAGTCTCTGTTCAAGGACTAATTTGTAATAAGTACACACATATATTACATACCTCGCTCTTGTGTTGACCATGATCAGTATGCTCTTCAAGAAGAGAAAACAGGCGTTTGACATCGAAATCTTTGTCTTCTTTAATCGTGCGTCGTAGGTACTGCATGATCACTTTCCTTTTATGTGCCGGGAGGTTGGATAGGTAAGAATCGATTTCAGGTTGTTTGATACTTATCCTCCGTCTTGCCTCCTCTGATTTTGTGGTTGCCAATTGCATATATGTCTGTAAATTGATACTTATCTTCCGTCTTGCCTCCTCTGATTTCAGGTTTTTTTCCAACAAGGTTGATAGGAGGATTCTCAAACCGGGAGACCACATTTACTCCTATAGAACGTTGCACTCTTTTTCCCACCACGGTAATTATACATACATACATACATACATACATACATACATATATATATATATAACTTTGTTTTGTTGTTAAACCCTAACGTATAAAGGTAGGATTTTTTACTTATTTTTTCTTTCTATTTAAGTGGCAAAACGGAAGCAAAATAAGCTATTCCAAAGAGGCTCTATATCTTCGATATTTTGAGTTTTTATACAAATACACATATCTTAAATAGTACAAAAATATAATTTGTGTGATCGTATTAATTAGTAATTATTATTATCTCTTTATTAATTAATTTCTCCTCACATTTAAGTTATTGATGAGTGAGTTTTACTCGTTCATTTGGTATCGTTTTAGACTTAATATCTAGTTGGTTTCGAGGTTTTTGTTAGTTTTTATGTGTGTTTTCGTTCTTTGTTTGAAGGCTAGGTGGAAGTCTATGATTTGGAAGGTTTTGGATAAATTTCGGTGGAAAAAGACAGCAATCATAGCGCTTAGGCGCCAATCTGTAGCGCCTTGGCTCTGAGTTATACGGAATCAACAATTTGGGCAGAACTGGTGGCGCTTTGGCGCCAGTTTGTAGCGCCGCGGTGCCGAAATCCGGCAGAATTTGTGCACTGGGCAGAATGGGCAGCGCTTAGGCGCCCATTACAGCGCCGTAGCGCCCAGGCATTTGACACAGTAGCGCCGCAGCGCTGGAAACTCAGCGCCGCAGCGCTACGACGCGAGAAATTACACGTTTTGAAGGCCAATCGCGCGAAAACTTACCCGTTTTAACCCTAATGCTCCGAAACATATAAATAGATGATTCTAGGGCAATTAGAAAGAAGACTTTTAGACTGTGGAATGACGGCTGGCTTTGAGAGAGTATTCAAGAGGAGAAAAGGAGAATTGGGACGGAGAAAAAGAACGGCTCAAATCCGGAGACGGAGACGCTTCAATTCAACTCCAAACTAGTTCTTTTCTTTATTATGAATGTTCAGATTCTCAATCTTCTTTTTAAGTAATTGATGTTTAATCCATATATGCTGAGTATTTCAATTTATTCTTAATGCTTGTGATTGTTTGGCCAACTATTACATGATTTTGTATTTGATTTGAGATTGAGAGGTGATAATTAAATAAGCTCATAATTGAAATACGATGAGTTGTTCATAGGATAGAGATATCTATGATGCTTGTGCAGTTCTTTTGAATTTCTTGCACTTAATGATTTTCAACAGGTTTAGAAGTCTGACAGAGATGTAGATTTTACTTGTTGGATTAATATTATTGTTGCTTGAGAAAGAATAATAATTGCTTTAGAGAAATTGCTGTCAGTATAGGATTGAATGTTAATTTTCTTGAATTATGAGAATTTGAACATGATTAATTTGGTGAAATCGAAAACCCTAGAATCTTAATCTATTGAATTTTCATCCGTTGCTTAGCATGGTTTAATTTATTTAATTGTTTTAGTTTTACTTTACTTAATTTTATAAACTCTCTTTTCAAGTATTCAAATAAAATTAGGGTTAATATAATTTCGGTAATTAGTAAACAACAATCCTCGTGGGACGATATTCTTATTCACTATTATATTACTTGATTGCGATAGCGTATACTTGCGTTACGATTTTTCACAACAAGTTTTTGGGTTATGAATCGTGAAAAGTTTGTTAAGATCGATATTATACAAAATATGTCTTCCTATATAGTTCCTTAATTACTTGAGCATCTGATATCTTGTACTGTAGAATCATAATTAAGTACTTGATGAGTAAGTTGTTAACAAACTTCAACAAAGAGCTAATAGTGCTTAATTATATTAGGAAATATGATTTGCTCTCATCTACGGCAGGAATATATGTGGAAGAGAACAGGGTGATCCATTTCACCAGAACAAGGGATCTCCCCGGGGAATCAAGTATACGCTGCGGAATCTGCGACTACCACGGGAGTACAAAAATAGGGGTGGTGAAAACATGTGTCGATTGCTTCCTGGGAGGCCACGAGCTCTATCGTTTTGAGTACAACGTTTCCAAGGCCCACTTCTGTACAAAAAACTTAGGAACATGCAGCGTGGGATCCTCCGACGCGCCCAATGTTGTCGTCCAACGAGCCATTGAGATGCTAGCGGGCAGAGGGTTCGGCGACTACGACCTCTTGGACAACAACTGCGAGTCTTTTGCTGTTTACTGCACCACAGGCAAAGCTGTTAGCAGCCAGGGTTTAGGTTTCAAGCACAGGGCTGAAATTGCGGCGAAAATGTTTACTTCAAAGCCTTTAACCTTAGGCAACATTGCAAGCACTGTTAACGAACTGGCGTTTGCCCATAAGATTGAGGCGATCGAAGCAACAAACGCTTCCTCATCGTCGGAGAAGGATAAAGACAACAAATAGAATGATCAAACTGTTGATTAAGATCAGGACTACTTCGTGCAAATAAATAAAAGCAAATTACTTGTTGGGAGCAAGTAATAAGCTACCCCTTTAAATATAATTTGTACGAAGTTAGCTACAATTTCTTTCATCATCGTCAGTACTTTCGAGTCAGTGTATGTACTATCTAATCAATAATGTAAAAAAAGAAATTAGTTAATTGATCGACTATATATATATATATATTGTCATGTACTTTTACGTGTCTAGAAATCAAAGCAAAGTTACCCTCATATTTTACTTCTTTCGTTTCTACGTTTTCTTTATAGAAAATTCATTCATTATTAGTATTTACTTTCTTTTTTTAACTAGTACATGTACGTGACAATTTGTTTAAGGTTAGTAATCTGTGTATAAACAAGTTACAGTGCCATTATTTCTTCTACACAAGTATACATATTATTATATATATAGA